ATTAATAAATCTAGACAGGAGCTGAGGAACATGATGGAATTCCAACATAGGAAACAAATGAAATCCATAAAACAGATGCAAATAGATTTCCAGGAGATGAAAAACTCCACTGAAAGTCTACACAGCAGAATGAGCCAATGTGAGGATGGAATTTCAGATACAGAAGATAAGATTGCAATTAGTGACCAGGAAAAGAAAAATTGCTTCAAAATTGTAAGGAATACAGTACTGATAGTGGGTACCCTTGTCTTGTTCCTGATAATGGGAATGCTCCAGTATTTCCCCCTTAATTCTGACACTGGTTTTTGGACTGTCTCAATGTATTATTATCCCATGTTAGAGAAATATCTATTTGCCTTATATTGAGCATTTTTATCTGAAATGGTTGTTGAATTTTAGAAAATGCATCATTTTAATAAAAACAAAATTATTTTTCAATCACTTTTCACATTTAAAAGGATTTAAATATTTTAATTCAAGAAGCAAAATACAAAACAGCTGTTACAAAACCATGGAAACAGTGAATTAAACAGTAACAGAAAATGCTTCAATTTTTACTAAACTCACTTTATCACTATTTAAATTTCATTCATTACTTTAGTATAATACCTCATCTCAGCATCTACAATTTTAACAAATGCCTGAAAAGTCTTCTGTTCATAAACAGATGCTGGTCTGACAGAAACACATCTGAAAATGTTCTTTTTCAGATCATAGCTTCCAACACACCTATGAACTTGGCCTCTGATCAGTCTTGGAAGTTCACGATCCTGTTTTGCAAAACATAAATATTAAAAACTTATTACTTCATCTAAGTTTCAATTTTTTAACTAGTAATATAGTCAACTAGATACCAAGCACCTCAAATGCTGTAACTCTCTCACCTGAGCCCTACCGCTCATAAATACTACGATATCTAGTCTTGGATATATGGATGCCCTATCACAGAAGAAAGACCCTAATGGGGATAGGACTTCTTACAACCTAGCTAGATGATGCTTCTTAAAATATGTAATAATTCCCAATTATCCACCCGTGCTGCTAGAGTTCCACTTTCAAGAGATGGCAGTATAGGTGGTTCATTTCAACTCTCCAGCTAAGAACAACCAGAAAGAATAGCTAAACAAAGTACTTCACTAAAAATCTCCTAGTAGGTGTCAGAGACATTATCAATGCAATGAAGGATTATAGACACCTCACCTAGAAGAGTATGGGAATCCAGAATGAGTCCTGATTTGGAGGGACTTTCCCTCCTGAGATAGCTATCAATTACAGAAAGGCAGTTGAAATTCTAAGAAACTGAGCAGAAGTTCTAACAGACTCAGAGCTGGGAGAACCAAAAATGCAGTTTGAATCCCCCAAGTAAAGAGATTATAGTAACCAAGCCTACCTCACCCCAGGCTAAGGGTTGGTACCGAAAAGGGCTATGCCTTTAAGGCAACTAATAAATCAGGGGGAAAAAAACCCCAAAAAACAGCAATCTTCCAATCCTCTGAACCATAAATAAAATTAAGCCAACCTGAAATTGTTTTCAATAAAAGGTCATTAAAAAGTACTAATTACATGGGTAAGGTCTAATGATTGATAAAAAAGCAGAATTTCTTTTCACTAAAAGCCACCACGAAGAGTGAAAAAGCAGCCAGCTGTGGTGGCACATGCCTGTAATCCCAGCACTCAGGAGACTGAGGCAGGATCACTCAAGTGAGGCCAGCCTGGGAAACAGTGAATTCAAGGACAGGTTGAACTACATAGTGAAACCCTGTCTCAAACAAACAAAAAAAGAGTGAAAAAGCAAATCATCTAGTATGAGAAAATATTTATAATAAATGTATAAAAGAACTGCCCAGGAAGTTTTAACTCCCATACATCAATGAGAAAGATAAATAATTCAATTTTTAAAAGAATTAAGCCTGAACAGATTTTACAAAAGAAACTATATAAATGGTCAATAAATATATGAAAAGGTTCTTAACTTCACACTCACCAGGGAATCGTAGAGAAATGAGATAGCATTAAAATTTACGAGGGGGGTGGGGGGGATGGGCACTGACTGACTATGCTAAGAATTGGTAGGGATGCAGAAAAACCACAACTCTTCTACATTGCCTGTCAATATATAAATTGATACAACCCTCTGAAAAGTACTATATCAGGACATACACATGCTCTGTGATCCAGTACTTCTACTTCTAGGTATATACCAAACAAAATTGCATACATATGCCTAAGAAACATATACAAGAATATTTGTATAGCATTATTCATAATAGCAAAAATTCTAGGAACACAATGTCCATCAATAGGAAAATGGAAAACTAAACCACAGTATATTCATACAACAAAATATAATACATAGCAATATAAATTAATGAACTACAGCTACATTCGACAATATAGACAAATCTTACATTGTGTTGAAAGAAAATAGATGTTTAAAAAAGATATACCCTATGATACTATTTATATATAGTTTAAAAGACAGAATTAATTTATGACATTAAAAGTCAAGATAGTAGTTACTTTTAGGTAGGACTCAGGAGGTAATTAATGGGAGGAGATACAAGGGGGCTTCAGGGTGATGACAATGTTCTACTTTTTAACCTGAGTATTATTTACTTTGTGACAGTTCATAGAGCTGTACAGTTATGATTTGTGCACATTTCTGTATGGTATACTTCAATAACAAAGCTTTTAAAACATAAACTGGAATTAACATATATATTATAGAAATTAACATGAAAATTACTATTTCTTGATCATCTATTACGTGTCAGACACTGTATATTTATATCATTTAATCACCACAACTTTTCAAAGCAGGAACTGATCTCCCCTTTTACAGATTTTTTTTAAATGAAATTCAGATAGTTTAAACATCTTATTTAGGTCATAAAGCTAGTAAATGATGAAATAAATACTGGAAGCCAAATCTGATTTCAGAAGTGAGGCTAATTTCAGAAGTGAGGACAAACTCTTTCAGCAAGTACATAGGTCTTATAAGGTCTCTGCCTTCTCTGTAATCTCCATCCTTCTTTGTCTCCAAGTCTTATTTTTTTTTTTTTTTTGGTACTGGGGATCGAACTCGGGTGCTTGCGTAGCAGGCAACGAAACCACTGAGCTAAATCCCCAGCCCTGCAAGTCTTATTTATATTCCACCCCACTCCTACATTAATTTCTAGAACCCTACCCTTACCCTCATTACTTATTAACTCTATACTTCAGCAACTGCATACTACTTGCAGGTAACTGAACAAGTAAGGCTCTTCTTAGCTTCATGTCTTCACATATGCTGCTTTCTTATCTTAAAATGCACTCTTACCTTCCCAATACACGTTGGTTTACCTGACTCTTATTAGTCATTAAATATCCCAGATAATATAGATTACTATCTTTTTGTGAAAAATCTATCATATCATTTATCATATCACAGTGTGACATGTATGTTATCTCTTTCTACCTGAAATTATAAGAGCTTTGAGAAAAGAAGCCATTTAACACTTCTATTCCACATTATATCCTTTGCACCCAGAACAATGCCCGGCACACAGTAGGTTTTCCATATTAGTTAAACAAATAAACAGTTCTAATACCAGAACTAAAACCAAACAAAATGCTTAAAGTACTATAAAACTGTTGACAGAAATTTGCTGCTATAGGTTTTGCAAAAACTACTTTTAAAATACTTACTATTTCATAAAATACACAAGGCAGAGTATTTTTCCCATCTCTCATAAGAAAAGCCTTTGAATAATACGGGCCAGGTGTAACAGCTGAATCAAGGACAGCTAAACAACATTGAAATGGGAGGGATCAATGTAAGTAAAATACAAATAAAATTTAACAAACAGAATTGATGTTTAAATAATGTTTCCACATTAACCTCTCAGTTCTTATACAATAATAAAGAAATCATTTTTTAAATGCCATTTCTGAAACAATTTTATACTAGGATAAAATTTTTAGCCCCTTCAACTTAGGAAGAGATTGCATGTCAAGTTCATATAATTAACAGTGTCTGGCCATCTGAAACATTTTCCTTAGAATCCCCAGACCAATGTACTATATTGTACATTGAACAACACTGTTATAACAATAAACATCAATTTAATGAAAAGTTGAATTATAATAAGAAGTCATACATTCTAGTCCAGTTCAATATTTTGAGACTTTGAGCAAATTTTATTTTCATGACAAAACAAAAGATATGCAGACACACATATATAAAAACGTAAAATCATTACTATAGTTAAGCAAAGTAACATATCCATTACCTTCCACTGTTACCTTTTCATGTGAGGTAAGAGTACCTAGGATCTACTCTAAGCAAATGTTCAATATACAATGCATCAATGTTAATTAACTATAGTCATCCTGCAGTACATTAGCTCTCTAGACTTATTCATCGTACATAATTACAAGTTTATTCTATTTCAGCTATATATTCCCATTTCCTTTCCCTTGAACAAATTGTTTAACCTCTTTCAAAGCTATTTCTTCATCTACAAAATGAAAACCCTAATTCATATTTATTTTTAGAAATTTTTTAGCAAATAGCATTATGTATTCCTTTAACAGCCACTTCCTGAGCAGGTAGTGGGTATTTGTTATTTTGAATTCAGCCTACCTTCCCCTTATAAGACCCAGATTTTCCTTTAGGAAACCTCTTCTATTCCCTTTTTTTTGAGCCAGGGTCTCACTATGTACTTCAGGCCTTGAACTCAAAGGATTCCTCCTGCTTTGGCCTCCCAAGTGCTGGGATTAGGTGTGCGTCACCACGTCCAGTTCCTATTCCACTCTTAGCCCTAAGATTTGGATGAGATTTGTCCCATCACTACCACCATCATTGCCGCCAACCCATTTCTGGGTATGACCTGGGACTGACTTAAGCCAATCACCATATTCCATTCCCCAGCTACATAGTTCGTGGTTTCAGAGATGGGCATGCTACCAGTCAGAAAAGATGATACGCAAAGAGTCGCTTGTTAATTTCTGGGAAACAGAAACCAGAAGAAACTTACATAAGAACATCATAGTGTACTATAAATCTAAAATGTCAGCAAGGCTGTTCCTTTTAGAGGCTTCTAGACTGCCTGCATTCTCTGACTGATGGCCTCTTCCTCCATCTCAATGCCAGCAGGATATCATCTTCCAATCCTTTCCTGACTCTGACCTTTCTACTTCCCTTTTATAAGGATCCTTGTGATTACAGTAATCAGACTGAGATAAGCCAGGATCACCTTCCCATTTCAAGGTCCTTAATTTAACAACATCAACAAATTCCCTCTTGCCATATAACATTCACAGGTTTTGAGAATTAGGACACAGACATCCTGGGGGCCATTATTCTGCCTTCTGCAAGCACTATTATTAAAGTTGCAATTTTTTAAATATACTTCAAAGAATAGGAAAAATTTTTATTTGGTAGGAGGACTAACTTTAGTATACAAAACAATAATATAAATAAAATTACAGAATCAGATATATAAAATTTCAAAACCATAGAGAGGACTACTATAGTGGTTATCTCTACAGAAGCAAATATATGGGGGAGCTTTAAATACACCTATGACATGGGTATGTGGATATTTATTATATGCTCTATATTTTTGTTTGGATTATTTCATAATTTAAGTGTTATGTTTGTTAAACAATGGAAAAAAGATGTTTTGAGTCTCTACAACTTGTTTTAAGTAAAATAAAATTCCAGAAACATTCTGCAAAACTCTCCCTCTTTAAAAATTAATCTAGAGGACTGGGTAAAAGCTCAGTGGTTCCACTGCCTGCCTCACAAGCACAAGGTCCCAAGTTCAATCCCCAGTACCAAAAAAATAAATACATAAAAATAAATAAAAATTAATCTAGAAAACAGATTAATTATAGGGTTCTTCCTCTTACTGGTATTAATAAATGCTTTGGATCATTTAAAATACAATTTAATTTATACACAAATTAGTAATATTAAGAACACTAGATCAAGATTGAGTAGACTAGATCCATTTCTGCTGCTAACTAACTGTGATTTTAGTTCAGTCAATTTTAATTATTTGGTCCATTTGTTCTGTAACTCAAGGGATTAAGTTAAATTACTTGCAAGAATTTATTCAGCTTTAACACTAGGGAATCACAAGAATACTGCCATAAATAAGCTAATACTTATTTCACATAAATCAGTAACAGACCCGAGAACTGAATAAAATTCTAATAAACATAATCCTTTGCAAAATTTTATTTTTCTTCAAGATTCCCTAGGTAATCCTACGGACATTAAAAACTTGTCCAAATAGTATTACTGAAGTATTTCTGAAGTATTGTACCTACCCAATATTTCAAAAAGAAGTACAGTTTTCTGTGCATGTTCACGCCAGTATTTCATGCTTTCAATAACTGCAGAAATAATTCTTAAAGAATTATTTTTTTCCTTAAATTGTAACTGACACAAGGGGATTTCCTTTTGAAAGAATAAAAATATAGCATCAGAAAAAGTTTCATCATACTCTTTCACCTTCTTTGTAAAAATTCTAGGTCCTTATATTAAGTAAATGTGGAAAAAGAACCACAGGAAGTTTCATACAATTACTTCCCCAAATTAAGGCCACTATCATTACATTACAGTAGGAGAAACCAGGATGCACTTGGGTATAATTAAGAACAGAATTATTTATATGTGCATTCAATTAGTCATTCATTTGCTCATTCATTAAATAAATATCATGTGCTGATTCTGTAATAAAGAGGGGAATAAAACGATTTGTTTCCCTAACATGCTCACACTCTACACATTTATTCATTCATTTCAAAAGTGTTTTTTAGGCAGCTACTCTATGCCAAGTAAAGCTATTAAGGAGCTAACAGTGAACAAAACAAATAAGCTATCTGCTTTCCTTATTTTATAATCAAAAAGAAGACTCATAAAATAAATACAAATAGAACATTAGGAATTGATATATTCTATGTATTAAAAAAGAGGATAGACTATTTCTATTGCAGAACAATTCATAATAGCCAGGACATAAAACCTGCCTGGATGTCCATCAATAGATAAATGGATAAAGAAAATATGATATATATACAAAATGAAGCATTATTCAGCCATAAAGAAAACAAAATTTTGGCATTTGCAGGAAAAAAAGATGAATCTAGAGACCCATGTTTAACAAAATAAGCCAGACTCAGAAACAACAAACATCTCATATTCTCCTTAATAGGTAGAATCTAAAAAAGATGACAAAAAAGTAGAAGTGAGACTATTATTAGACAAGAGGAATTGGAAGAAGGTGCAGAAGGAGGGGAGTGTAAGGGCAGGTAATGGAAAGATGGATGTGATCAAAATACATTATATGCACTGAAATCCCCAAAAAATGTGAATCTAGGGGCACAGGTTGGGGGATGTAAAAATAAGTATGTCATATGCGTATATGAATCTGCTAAAATGAGACCCATGAGACCCATTAATCTGTATAAACAATAAAAAGTGAAAAAACAGTAAAATTATAGAGACAAGTTATTATTTTAAATAGGTGGTTAAGTGAGGACAGAGAAAATAGCAAGTATACAGGTCCCAAAACAGAAATGTCCTTGGCATTTCTTTGAAGAAGAACTAAGAATACAGTATAAGATACTAATTCTTAAAGGAGATGGATTTCCTTGGTAAGAGCTGTGAAGAACACTTACCTAATGGGGCTTTTTTCCCCAAACTACAATTACTTTTCCCAATTCCCTCTTTCCTAAAGATTCTAATATGCCTCTTGTTGAAGATTACTGCCATAGTATGCCACTGTTACTTAAGATTGCTATGCCCTACCTTTTTTGTTTACAAAAAGCTCAAATTTGAGAACTGCTGTAGAACATGTTATATTAGTAATATTTCCAGAAAAAAACCAGAATTTACCCTAATGACATATTGAAACAGAGGGTACTTAAGCACTCAAAGACTAACAATATTAATAAGCTGTTAATACTATTCTGAAAGGACAAGGAAAGGAAATAAAGTACCAAGTTCATGAAAGCTGAACTCAGATGGGCTGTGTCATGCTGGGATGCAGCCACTTTGATCCACACAACATTTCAGTATGGAGAAAATGGAAAAACTTCTCCTCCCACCCCGATATGCTCCCAGTGGCACCCACTGGCTGACTTTTAGCAGAAACCAACATATAACAAGGGATCCCAAGACACATCACAGTGTAGGACAAGTTAGCCATCCAGAGCACAGAGAAGAGCAAGTGGAGGACCACAGAACATGGAAGGGAAGATAGAGAGTAACTAGCATGTGTAATATATAGAAGATATTTACAAAGAACAATCAGAACAATGAAATTAGAAAGGAAATGAGGCTAAGTTATAGTGTCTGGAATAACCAGCACATCAGAAAACTGGTAGAATATGGAATATCTGGAAAGAAAGGTAAAATAAGACCAGATTATAAAGCAGAGATCAGGAAATTATGGTCCACACTTCAAATCTAACTTGCCATCTGTTTTTATAACCTTTGGCTAGAAAACAGTCACGTCCATTCATTTATGAATTATCTGTTATCTTTTTTTTTTTTTTTTTTTTTTGGTACCGGAGATTGAACTCGGGACCTTGCACTTGCGCAGCAGGCACTAGAACCACTGAGCTAAATCCCCGGCCCTCATTTATGAATTATCTATGGCTGCTTCCATGCTACAGGAGTAGAACTAAATGGTATAACTGAGTAGCTGAACAGAAATAGTATGGCCCAGAAGGTTAAAAACACCTATTATCTGACTGTTTACAGAAACATTTTTCTGATCTCTATTGAAAATAATCTTAGAATTACATGTAAAAAGCTTGGATAATTTCTACAAGCAACAGATAAACTAGTATCTTAATAAGCTGTGAAAGCCAGATTCCGGAAGGAAACTCTAAAGCAACTATGAGAAGAAGCAGCAATTCATACCCCTAAGAAAATATTTTAAGAGGCCGAGGAGGTGAGCCTTCTGGGCCACTATACCACCATCCCCAGCACTGAGGAGGAGCCTTCCAGTCTGCCATACCATCACCCCCAGTGCAAAGAAGCAGAGCCATCCCAGTTCCGAGGTGGTGAGATGCGAGGACCTCAGCAGCACACACCCCTCCCCCTAATTCCCCCTGGCACTGAAATGAGAAGACACATAAACAGGTCTCAAAACCAGACTCCCAGATCAACTAAAGCAACCCCAAAAGGAAACGAGATGGAAAAATATGATACTCAACCACCTGGACTACCTGAACTGGCAACAAAAAGAGGATCTGGAAAAAATGAAATCAGAAATAATTTCTCAGATAACAGCAGAGACTGTGCCCATAGTGCAAGACATGATTAATAAATCTAGAGAGGTCACAGACAAAATAATTGAGGAGCTGAGGAAAACGATGGAATTCCAACATAGGAAACAAATGGAATCCATAAAAGAGAGGCAAGGAGAATTCAAGGAAATTAAAAACTCCATTGAAAGTTTACGCAGCAGAATGAGCCAATGTGAGGACAGAATTTCAGAAGGAGAAGATAAGATTGCAATTAGTGACCAGGAAAAGAAAGATTTCTTTAAAATAATAAGGGACCATGACAAATCAATCCACCATCTGCTAGACAATGCAAAAAAGAATAACGTAAGACTAATCAGAGTCAATGAAGAAACAGAAGAGAGTGAAGATGACATAAAAAAATCTGTTCACAGAAGTGATGGCAGAAAGCTTCTTAAGCAGGGGAAAAGAACTTGACATACAGATAAGTGAGGCATATAGGACTCCAAATAGCCTTGATCAAAAAAAATCTACACATACGCATATAATT